AAAGCGTGCGATGCCCTTTAGTCCCGGTTCGTGTCTCAAACCGGGACTGAAGGGCCCATTTGAACCGGGACTAATGCTCACGTTAGTCCCGGTTCATAATGCAACCGGGACTAATGTGTATATTGCGTTGTGACCAAAGCTCATTTTTCTACTAGTGAGTGTATCAGCGAGAAGAACCATTGTTTAGCACTTGGTTCACTCGATTCCCGCGGCTGATCCGCTAGCTCCCCATCCGCCAGTGCCTAGATACATCTTAACATGAAGCAGTCCAGGAGGGAGTGCCTCCAAGAGTCATGTGCGTCACACAAACCGCATGTACTTGATGTGGCCATGTTTCGATGCTCCCTGACATCCTCAGTGGCTGTGTGAGGTGCATGGATAACCCACAGGATGACTAGGCCATATTACCATAGGCCCACATAGTTCTGGCCCTAGTATCTCGAAAGTACACAAAAAACAAAATCACTAATTAAGGAGCACTCTGCAAATGTCACTCTCACCTCCTGAGGTTATGACAAGTGGTGTACTGAATGTGTGTCTTGTCGCAACTTTTTTACATAGATCTGCTAATTCAAAACATTTTATCTCTTAAACTATGCGTCCAAATTTCGTATCATTTTCTCTGTTGGATACCTCGCGTCGAGATCTTCAAAATTAAATCTCATGTTGATAGGTTTTTATGAACTTTTTTTCATGAAAAAAGCAGGATGAGAAACCGACCCGGGAGCACTTTTTTCCTTTCCGGAAGAGGCATGAATGTGCCTCCACGAGAAGTAAATTCGCACCTCTTTCTAAAGGAAAAAATGTGTCCTTTTTTGTTTCCGAGAGGCACGACTATGCCTCTCGCGAAAGTAAAAAACGTGTTTTTCTTTGTTTCGCAGAAGCAAGTCCGTGCCTCTCACTGGAGGAAAAAAATGTGTATTTTTTCGTTTCCGACTGTGCCTCTCACGGAAGCAAATCAGTATCTCTCGCGAAAGAAAAAAAACATTTTTCAAATCGGTGCTCTCACGGGGAAAGAAAGAAAAGTGTTTTTTCTGTTTCCGAGAAGCACCTCTCGCAGAAGCAAATCCATGTCTCTTACAGAAGCAAATCCGTGCCTCTCACGGAAGGAAAAAAACATGTTTTTTTTCATTATTGAGAGGCACGACTGTGCCTCGCGCGGAAGGAGGAAAACATGTTTTTGTGGCAAAAAAATAGAAACTATTTTTTGTCCAAAACCTAAGAATGGCCGAGAGAAAACCGAAAAAATTCATCTGAAAAGACAAAAACACGTGCGAACCTAGAGTGCGACACATGGCGACGGTTAAGAGTGGCTGGTGCACTCTCAGCCCACCCAGATGACCTTTGAAGGGCTCCTGAAAGAATACTCTTTTGTTAGTTGCTCTCCCAAAACAGCAGGTATTCCTAGGAGGCCACTATGTGTCGCCTGTAGCTACCCATAGCGTAGCATAGCTAGCTCGAAGAGTCCTCGGAAAAGCGTGTGTAGATCATTGATGTACGTTTTCTTAATTCATTTTTTTCTTACATTTGTTCAGATTTTTTAATACATTCTAAACAAGTAAATTTGGGCACCTAAAAATACTGAGAAAAATAAAAATCGTGAATTTGAAAAATGTTAAATGCAATGTAAAAAGATTTTTAGCATAATTTTAAAAATGTTGACACATTCAAAAAAATGTTGTTACAATTAACGAGTGTCGTGGGTGTTAATTTATTTAAGACATATACAAAAAATGATAAAACAAAGCTTATTTGAAAAATTGTTACTCATGTATTTGAAAAAATGTTAAACATGCATAAAAAATGGTTCGTATGTATACAAAAATTTAGACATCGAAACATATATATTGAAAAAATGTTAATCATGTACTTACAAAATGTTAAACGATTATAAGAAAGATGTCGCTTATATATATGAGAAATGTATAATCTGTATGAAATAAAAGTAGGCATCAAAACCTATATCTGAATAAATGAAATCATGTATTTGAAAAATGGTAAACGTGTATATGAAGAAAAAAAAACTTATCTATATGGAAAATCTAGAATCTGTATGACAAAAAAGTAGACATCAAGGCATATATTTGAAAAAAAAAGTTAATCATGTATTTGAAGAATGTTAAATGTGTATAAGTAAAATATATATTATATATATTTAAACCATATAATATGTATGAAAAAGTAGACATCAAAAAATATATATGAAAAAACATCAATCCTGTATTTGAAATATGTTAAACGGGTATAAAAAATGCTCCTACTATATACAAAAATGTACAATATTTATGAAAAAAGGAAGACCTTAAAACATATGTTTAACAAAAATGTTACTCATGTATTAAAACAATGATAAATGTGTATAAAAATGCTCCTGTTCTATACGGAAAATCGACAATGTGTTTGAAAGAAGTAAAAACCAAAGAAAATCAAAGACAAAAAGAAAAGGAAACAGAAAAAAACTGAAGAAGCAGATGCAAAACAAATAAAACCAAAGTGAAATCAAGAATAAACAAACAAAATAGAAGAAAAAAAAGGAAAAGGGACTGGTGCAAAATAGTGGAACAATGTGAAAACCGATAAAACCGAAAAAGAAGCAAAGAAAACTAAAGGAGAAAACAAAAACTAAAAGGTTGATACAAAATAATGAACGCAGTTAAAAAAATGGCAAAAAAAAAGAACACGTGGAGGTGCGCCCAGTGTGGGAACACATTTATTTTTCTTTATTTCTTTTTGGGGTGTTTTTAGTTTTTTTGGGGGGGGGGGGTGGTTTCCCTACGATTTTGTGACTTTTTTTTACATTTTTTGTCGTAAAGCACAGTTGTGTTTCAGCATGAAGTACATATGTGTCTTTCATAGTTCTATTTTTCGAAAAGTGAAAAACACAGTTACTTTCATATGAAGCGCATTTGTCTTTCTTGAAAGATAAAAGGCATAATTGCACT